GTTGTCTATTTTGTGTTCCATAATGAACAAGAAACAACATCAGGTAAGTGTTGATCCAATATCCTTTGCTGAAAGAACAACCATTGTGGCTTTCTTTAATATGCTGTAACCTTAAGACTGAATTGAATTCTATAGAACTGCCATTACATGAAACACTTGAATGGGATGTACAGCTTTATTGATAGATGAAGTACATGTGTACTATACATTTTAGTGAAGACATTCAAAATTAAGATAACTGTATTACGTTACTGTGCATGATAATAACACTTTATTTTTGAGGAGCAAAACCTTCAAATTAGCATGTAACTTAAGCTCTACATAATATGTAATCCACTACCATTACTAAAGATTATAAATGAATTCTCTTCACAGATCAATCCACCAGTTCCAGTACTACCACGGCCACAGTAGCAGCCACTGAGGATCCAAAGGCGGTCGAGTTGTGGCTGATTATTCAAATACTCTGTGCCATATTACTCATACTCTCTCTTCTCTGCTGCTGCTGCATGTGTTCTGGGGAGGCTCGTAACTATAGCAACAAGAAATCCCGCTCACGAGAAATAACGAATGTATGTAACATATCGTATTTATTATATCAAAATTATTTTTTTAATTTTTAGTGTCAGGAACATAAAGAGTGCAAGTACAAGTTATTGAGTCCTCCGCCAGTCACCGCCTACACACTACCGGTCAAAGTGGGAGGACCCCTGTAATTATGACGCTAATTAGAATATTTTGGGACTATGTTGTGCCATTAATTTTAATCAATTTAAATCTTTTGTTACATCACGAGAGGATTAATAATCATTAATAAACCCAGACCACACCCACTAGTTTATATCAACGAAGTCTTCTAGCCTCTCTCTCACATTCCAACAGACAGAGGACGTCTCCTTCCCTCACTGGACCTTTAACATTACGTATTATAGACCTGCTGTCGTCCAGGAATTCAACTCTGACCTACTGATGTTAAAATTATCTTAAAATAAGCTACTGCCATACTTGAGTACACTGGCCTTGTGACCCTGTTCTTCCCAATAGCTTTATGACCTAATATAGCATAAAAGAAGGTTTGAACGAGCTTATTAAGATGTAGAGAACACTTTTACTTTTCCATATCTTGGTTTCTGATCCATTATTATATTATTTTGAGGTGAAAAATGAAAGAAAGAAGCACGTGCGAGTTATCTCTCTTGCGCATGCCCAGTTCCAGCTCAGTTTATAAATTTATTAATATTAATAAACTTAAAATACTAACTAGAATTCTGCATAGCAAAAAGCAGTTTTATCAGCTAGCAATAATAATAGCTTGGTTAGTGATTTAGCAGGATAGGTTCTTAACATCAGAGAACCCTAGCGTACCAGCACCTGTAGAGTCCAATGTGCAATCAATACTAGTCACTTTACCATCACTAGTATTTATTGTCGACATTGATACCACTTCTCCAGGAGCTCCTCTCATCTTAACAACATAAGTACCAGCGAAGAGGATTACAGTGAGAACCCTCTGCTCTGATATTGGTACTACCTTATCCAGCTCTCCTAGCAATGCCCCACCACTACCTGGTAGTACAGGTGCTATGTACCAGTGTTGGAAATCTGATACTTGACAGGATTTTATCGTCAGCTTTGCACTTGAATCTGATATTTTCACGTAATTTGATCCAACAGTTTTGTCAAGGTCGTATTGAACTGCTACTGACTCCGGGAAGGAGGTCTTAGGCTTGGTACCATCACGAGCAGCTGGTAATTCTGTGACGGACATTTGATAGTCACTTTTAAGCTCAGCTCCCAGTATGTAATACCAAGTATAACCAGACACCTAAAAAGGTAGAGATTATAAAATGAATGTATCTTACAACTTTTATCAAAAGCAGTTCAAATTAATAGTCACAACATAATTAAACTTACTTCAGTATAAGTTGCAGTGAGATATCCATCAGGCCCTCCTTTACCAAGTGCTCGCTGAAGGAAAGTAGAGTCCAGAGACATAGCAGGTCTTGATGGCTTTAATATGAGGCCATCACTCATACAAGTGGCAAGAATCAGCTGCTTATCTGCTCCTCCTACAGTATCACTGGGACCCACTGGGCCAGTACTTAACACTGATACGTAGGTCTGCAGTTTAGGACTAGGTTCTGCT